GAGGAAGGGGGAAAGAGAGAGAAAAACATCAATGATGAGAGAGAATCATGGATCAGCTGCCTCCAGTACACACCCACTAGGGATCAAGCCTGCAATCTGGGCATGTGCCCTTGACCGGGAATCCAACCGTGGCTTCCCGATTCATAGGTCGATGCTCAACCACGGAGCCACACCGGCCGGGTTGGGCCTATCTTATATTCTGTTGTGAAACACTGGGTCCTGTTTAACTGTCATACGGACTTTGTTACTTTAGAAGGTGACCTTCCAGCTGGGTTTGGCCAAGTTCCATCCCGCCGTCCGTGGACGGGTGTGAATGTCAGTTCAGTTTGAGGTCTTGGCAGCATGTGTGGACCTACAACCCGTGTGCAGCACCGAGTGGTCCCCGTGGGGTGGGCAGTGGGCTGCCTCCTGGTTCCGTTCTGAAATCTGCCCTGGCTCTTTGGGCTCCAATCCACGCAAGCGCCCTTCAGAGGTGGGCCCAGGAGCTCATGAGCAATGCAAAGGCTGTTTTCTCAATGTTTCTCTTGCCACTTTCTCCCCAACCCTAGATCCTGCTCTTAGTTCATTCTCCTTGCAAACTGAAGGGTCCCGGGTTCGATTCCCGGTCAAAAGCACATGCCTCGGCTGTAGGTTTGATCCCCTGGGAGGGGCATGTGCAGGAGGCAACCCATCCATGTTTCTCTCTCACATCGATGTTTCCCTCTCTCTCCCCCCTTCCCTTCCACTCTCTCTTAAAAGCAATGGAAAAATATCCTTGGATGAGAATTAACAACAAAGAAACAACAACCACCACCACCCCCCAAATGGAAGGGTTTTATAGGCAGGAAAAGGGTGGGGCTAGGAAGTTAAAAGAGCAGATTATTTTGGACAAGGAAATAATCCCAAGAAGATTATTTCCTCCCCAGGGGAAGGCAGGGTCTCCTCTCCCAGTTACCTCACTGGCACGGACCAGGAAACCCCAGGCCGAGTGGCATAAAGCTGCCCTCCTGGGGCCGCTGAAACTGCAGTGAGCTTAGGTACTACGTTCGGTTTGGTGGTTTAGCAGAAGTGAATCCATTTGGACCAGTTATTTGTCTTTAACAGAAGGAATCAGGGGGCCTGGTGCTGAGCTGGGATGAGACACAGGGAGGCTGGAGGGGAGCAGAGCAGGGCTCTCCAGCTCTGAGCCAGCTCCTTCCTGCTGGTCCAACTCGGGCCGGTCATGCCAACCTTGGCCGCCAGGTGGCAGCAAGGGCCTGGATTTGGGGCAGCTCATGGCTGTGCTTTCCTGGGGCCTGAGTGAGGTCCCAAGACCTGGTTTCCACTGAGCTCCTCCTCAGGGAGAATGTGGGGGTAGAGCGTCCCCAGTCTGTACGGCCACAAAACCCTTCGCCAGACAGGACATACATGTCCCAGGTCTCAGGCTCTGAGCAGGGCAGAGGCTGGGGACACTGAGTTGGTGGGAAGGGGTGAGGGATGGGGACAGCCACCAGCTCTGTCTCGGTGCCTGGGAGGGACATCAATTAGATTTCTACCCGCCTGAGCCCCTCTGAGCCCTGCCCTCACCCTCCGCCATGCACAGCAAAGAGCAATGACTGGGCCCAGCAAGAATGGCTCCGTGGCTGAGAGTCAACCTATGAACCAGGAGGTGATGGTTTGATTCCCGGTCAGGGCACATGCCCAGGTTGTGGGCTTGATCCACAGTGTGGGGCGGGCAATAAGCAGCAGATCCATGATTCTCTCTCATCATTGATGTTTCTATCACTCTCTCTCCCTTCCCCTCTGAAATCAATACAAATAAAAAAATACATGTAAAAAAGAGAAAGTACTGGGATTATTTAGCCTGTGGACCAGACCATAGACTGAAACCCATAGCTGGAGGGCTGGGGGTCTCCGAAGTCTGACTGCATTTCCAAGGCATTGTCAGGGGCTCAGTCTTAGAACACCCACGTCAAAGAGACTGAATCCCTCCAATTAGCCCTGCCCTCCAGGGAGGCAGAGAGGAAGCCAGGACCAGCTCAGAGGGGTGACCAGAGAGATAACAGAAGCAGATTTGCATGGACGCCCCTCCCTCCTCTGAGCCAGGGGGAGGGGATAAGGGAGGTCTGGGGGAGCCAGGCTCAGGCTTGGGGTCTCAGAAGGCAGCGCTCTCAGGGCACCTCCACCATGGCCTGGGCTCTGCTCCTCCTCAGCCTCCTCTCTCAGGGCACAGGTGAGGCCCCAGGGAAGGGACACAGGGACACCTGGGCTGACTCTCTGCCTCCTCCTCAGGCCCCCCGGGCCCAGCACTGAGCTCACCAGAGTGTGTTTTTGCTCTTTTCAGGGTCCTGGGCCCAGGCTCCCCTCCCTCAGCCTCC